AACAATCTCTCCATCAATGCGTCAATCCCGAGCACCCAGTAAACAACATGCTGTTAGGCAATCATAGTCTGGGATCTACCAACTCAGGACTGGCCTCTCAACTGCTTTTCTCTCTACCACCCCCGTCTTCTGTCACCCAACTGTCCACTATCCTTCTCTGGTGCCGGCACCCTCCACCCTCCTCTATACTGGGCCTCTGCCAGCACCTGACGGGTACGGCCCAAACTACCTTTCAGGTTGATGATGCTTCTCAGTTTTGCCAGCAAATACAAAAATGTGTACAAAGTACTCAATATATATATATATATTATATATAGTGCTCCTCTGGGGTGTGTGAGATGAAACTAGTCCATAGTGGAAGCAGGAATTAGGAGGAAGGATGGAAGGGGAGGGGAGATGATCAAGGTGTGCTTCATCCCCCTGCAACCCCTGTAGTGCCTCTGGGTAGGATCACCTCAAGAAGTAGAAGAGAAAGAAAAAGAAGAGAAGGGCACTGAGAGTAATACAAACCAATATACCTTTATTTCCAGTCCCCCCTTCCAAGTCCGGACGCTTTCCCCCCCTTCCAGTCCGGACGCTTCCCCCCCTTCCCAGACGCTTTCCCCCCGGACGCTTTCCCCCCCTTCCAGTCCGGACACTTTCTCCCCCCTTCCAGTCCGGACACTTTCCCCCCCCTTCCAGTCTGGACACTTTCACCCCCTTCCTGTCCGGACACTTTCACCCCCTTCCAGTCCGGACACTTTCCCCCCCCTTCCAGTCCAGACGCTTCCCCCCCTTCCAGTCCGGACGCTTTCCTTTCCCCCCCTTCCAGTCCGGACACATTCCCCTTCCCTTTTTTTTCCCCCCCCTTCCAGTTTCCGGACACTTTTTCCCCCCCTTCCAGTCTGGACACTTTACCCACCCCCCTTCCTGTCCGGACACACTTTCACCCCCAGTGTCCGGAAATTCCCCCGCTTTCCAGTCCGGACGCTTTTCCCCCCCCCCCTTCCCCCCTTCCAGTCCGGACACTTTCCCCCCCTTCCTGTCCGGACACTTTCCCCCCCTTCCCAGTCCGGATGCTTTCCCCCTCTTCCAGTCCGACGCTCTCCTCACCCCCCCCTTCCAGTCCCGGACGCTCTTCCTCCCCCCCTTCCAGTCCGGACGCTCCCCCCCCTTCCAGTCTGGACGCTTTCCCCCCCCCTTCCAGTCCGGACGCTCCCCCCCCCCCCTTCCAGTCCGGACGCTTTTCCCCCCCTTCCAGTCTGGACGCTTCCCCCCCCTTCCAGTCCGGACGCTTTCCCCCCCTTCCAGTCCGGACGCATTTCCCCCCCTTCCAGTCCGGAAGACGCTTTCACCCCCTTCCTGTCCGGACGCTTTCCCCCCCCCTTCCTGTCCGGACATAACGCTCAGCTTTCCCCCCCCTTCCTGTCCGGACGCTTCCCCCCCCCCTACCTGTCCGGAAGCTACCCCCCCCCCCCTTCCTGTCCAGGCCAATTTTCAGCTTTCAGCGTTATCACACTTTAAATGACAATTGCGCGGTCATGCAACACTGTACCCATATACATTTTTTTAGCATGCTTTTTTTTTAGACAGATCAAACATTATTTTATTCAACATTGGGATTTTTATTTTATTTTTTTTGCTATGTAAATGAAAAAGTCCAAACATTTTGAAAAAAAAAAAAGTATTTTTTCTTCTACATTTTTTACAATTATTTCATTAATAAATCTTGGCCAAAATTTATTCCGTTATCTTCTTAGTACAAAACAAAAAAAAATAACCCAAATTAGTTTATAACCAACAATTATAATTTTTAAACATTTTTTTTTACATTTTTATATTATTATTTATGCTTTTTTTTTACATACTGCGTCACTCTAGCAGTACAGGGTCACCATAACCGAAAATTATAATTCAAAAAAAAAAAAATTTAACATTTTTATTTTTTTTTATATTATTATTTATGTTTTTTTTTTAACATGCTGTCACCCTAGCAGTACAGTCACCATAAGGTGACACTACTACTTGTGGGGGGGTGATGAAGATTTTTTTTTTTTTGTTTTACACACTGATTGCTTTTACACCCATAAAAGGCTGTAAAAGCAATAATTCTTCCTTCTCTATAGCTGCATTCTGCAGCCATTGAGAACTACTATGTGAGCTGTGATTGGTCACAGCTTGTCATATGGTAACAAGGCTGTTGTGAATAGGACCCTGTACTATGTGATCTCTGTGATCATTCACAGCTTTCACAGGTAGTAAGCAATGATGTCAGAAGTGACATCTTGCATTACTATTCTGCATGTGATCACTGATTGGCCAATCAGTGATCACATGATCGGGACCCACCTCGCGTCCAAAATTATTCAACCCCCACTGAAATTGAGTGTTTTGGCCAGTTTGACATTGCTTTTGATCATTCAGTCATCTTGCTTACATTTACATTAAAGAGGCACTTGTAGGTCAGACAAATATAACATAACAGTTATAATGAAATAACCACAAATGTCTTTTCTGTGCTCACAGCATTATCAGTTTTATTCAACCCCCAAGTGACATTCAATCTTAGTACTTAGTACAGCATCCTTTTACAGTTATAACAGCTTTTAAACGTGAAGCATAGCTTGACACAAGTGTCTTGCAGCGATCTACGGGTATCTTCGCCCATTCTTCATGGGCAAAGGCCTCCAGTTCAGTCACATTCTTAGGCTTGCGCACTGCAACTGCTTTCTTTAAGTCCCACCAGAGGTTCTCAATCGGATTTAAGTCTGGTGACTGCGATGGCCACTCCAAAATGTTCCAGCCTTTCCTCTGCAACCATGCTCTAGTGGACTTGGAGGTATGCTTGGGATCATTGTCCTGTTGAAAGGTCCAACGTCTCCCAAGCCTCAGGTGTGTGACGGACTGCATCACGTTTCCATCCAATATCTCCTGGTACTGAAGAGAATTCATGGTACCTTGCACACGCTGAAGCTTCCCTGTACCTGCAGAAGCAAAACAGCCCCAAAGCATGATTGACCCTCCACCATGCTTCACAGTAGGCAAGGTGTTCTTTTCATCATAGGCCTTGTTCTTCCTCCTCCAAACATAGCGTTGATCCATGGGCCCAAACAGTTCTAATTTTGTTTCATCAGTCCACAGAACACTATCCCACAACTTTTGTGGTTTGTCCACATGGCTTTTGGCATACTGCAGTCGACTCTTCTTATTCTTTGGAGACAGCAAGGGGGTACGCCTGGGAGTTCTGGCACGGAGGCCTTCATTACGCAGTGTGCGTCTTATTGTCTGGGCTGAAACTTCTGTACCCACATCTGACAAATCTTTTCTCAGTTCCTCAGCAGTCACACGGGGACTTCTCTCCACTCTACGCTTCAGGTAGCGCACAGCAGTCGAAGTCAGCATCTTCTTTCTGCCACGACCAGGTAGCGTTTCAACAGTGCCCTTTGCCTTGAATTTGCGAATGATGCTTCCTAAGGTGTCTCTTGGTATGTTTAACATCTTTGCAATCTTCTTATAGCCATTGCCCTTCCTGTGAAGAGAAATCACCTCTTCTCTTGTCTTCCTGGACCATTCTCTTGCCTTCACCATGTTTGTAACCACACCAGTAAATGTCTAGAAGGAGCTGAGTATCACAGTCATTTTAAAGCTGCCTAATTGGTGCTTATTATGCTTGATTGCTGCTCGGTGACATCCACAGGTGTTTTCAATACCTGATGGAAAGCACCTGTATGAACCTCTGTTCTTCAGAGTGGTAGTCTTTAAGGGGTTGAATAATTGTGGCAATGAAGAAACCACATAAGAACCATTTACTACTGTATATTACATAAACAATTGATGTCATTTTAGTTGCATTTGGGTAGTATTACAACGTCCTTGTAGGATTTGATTCTGAGTAATCCAACGGGATCCAATAGTGCGCCAAATCAAACAAGTCACAACGGGACTCAATGTGCTAAAAAAAAAAACCTCCCACCGGAACTAAAAATCAGTTCCCACCATATAACACACAACGCACGTGCATCCCAATAAACGCATAACCTGAGAACTGATCATGCAAACAAACATGAATAAATGAATGAATATATAACGTCCCGGGAGGTGTAAAACACCTGACAATATTATTATTATACAGTATTTATAAAGCGCCAATAGTTCGCTCAGCGCTGTACATTACAAAGGGGGACAGAACATGTGACAGAACAATACCAATACAATGCAAAACATGAGGGGATCGAGGGCCCTGCTCCTTGGAGCTTACAATCTAGGAGGGAGGGGATGGTGGCACAGGAGGGAGATAGCTGTGGGGGATGGAGTGGTAGGAAGAGTGGAGGAGGTCGGCAAGTTAGCAGTAAGGGGGGTGGGGTAGGCTTCCCTGAAGAGGTGGGTTTTCAGGGTGCGCCTAAAGGAGAGGAGAGTAGGTGATAATCTGATGGGTTGGGGCAGGGAGTTCCAGAGGATGGGTGACACCCTGGAGAAGTCCTGGAGGCAGGCATGGGAGGAGGAGACCAGGGAACTAGAGAGAAGGAGGTCTTGTGAGGAGCGGAGTGTGCGTGTTGGGTGGTACTTGGATATTAGGTCAGTGATGTAGTTCGGGGCAGTATGGTGGACGGCTTTGTCCGTCAGTGTTAGGATTTTGAAATTGATCCGTTGCGCAATCGGAAGCCAGTGGAGGGATTGGCAGAGAGGGGTGGAGGACACTGAGTGGAGGCCAGTGGAGGGATTGGCAGAGAGGGGTGGAGGACACTGAGTGGAGGCCAGTGGAGGGATTGGCATAGGGGGGGTGGAGGACACTGAGTGGAGGTCAGTGGAGGGATTGGCAGAGGGGGTGGAGGACACTGAGTGGAGGTCAGTGGAGGGATTGGCAGAGGGGGTGGAGGACACTGAGTGGAGGCCAGTGGAGGGATTGGCAGAGAGGGGTGGAGGACACTGAGTGGAGGTCAGTGGAGGGATTGGCAGAGGGGGTGGAGGACACTGAGTGGAGGCCAGTGGAGGGATTAGCAGAGGGGGGGTGGAGGACACTGAGTGGAGGCCAGTGGAGGGATTGGCAGAGAGGGGTGGAGGACACTGAGTGGAGGCCAGTGGAGGGGGTTGGCAGAGGGGGGTGGAGGACACTGAGTGGAGGCCAGTGGAGGGATTGGCAGAGGGGGGTGGAGGACACTGAGTGGAGGCCAGTGGAGGGATTGGCAGAGAGGGGTGGAGGACACTGAGTGGAGGTCAGTGGAGGGATTGGCAGAGGGGGTGGAGGACACTGAGTGGAGGCCAGTGGAGGGATTAGCAGAGGGGGGGTGGGAGGACACTGAGTGGAGGCCAGTGGAGGGATTGGCAGAGAGGGATGGAGGACACTAAGTGGAGGCCAGTGAAGGGATTGGCAGAGGGGGTGGAGGACACTGAGTGGAGGCCAGTGGAGGGATTGGCAGAGAGGGGTGGAGGACACTAAGTGGAGGTCAGTGAAGGGATTGGCAGAGAGGGGTGGAGGACACTGAGTGGAGGTCAGTGAAGGGATTGGCAGAGAGGGGTGGAGGACACTGAGTAGAGGCCAGTGTAGGGATTGGCAGAGGGGGGTGGCGGAGATGGAGCGGTTGGAAAGGTGAATGAGTCTGGCAGCCGTATTCAGGACAATATACAAAAACCATATATAGTCCACAGCAATTCTTGAAGAAGAAAAAAAAGTGCTGATAAATGTGCAGAGATATCCAAAAATGGCTGAATTGCCGGCTCACCTCCCTCTTGCGACCCGCACAGGTCATACGGCCTTCAGGATCACTAACACATGGACCCTAATAGTAGGTCATCCCCCACAGCTCTCCCCACTGAACAGATTCCAGCACAGGATCCCAGGGCAGCAGATCTCCTCTTCAGGCACATAAGGCGGCTGCAGCCACTGGATCCCTCAGGAAATAGAGGTGAATGCTGCGTCGTGTACAACCATTTATTCACCAAAGTATCACATATGGAATACGCTCACATTGTACATCATCTTGTACATCACATGTCAATGAAACCTGATGAAGTCACGTGTTAAGCGTGACGATACGTGTGGGCGGTGACGCCTTCTTTATTTACATTGGACACCCATGAAGTACATCTGATCTGAGGTTTCATTGACATGTGATGTACAAGATGATGTACAATGTGAGCGTATTCCATATGTGATACTTTGGTGTTCCTCCAGGGGCCCTCAAACATTCAAACAGGGGGCCAGTTCACGGACCTTCACACCGTTGGGGGGCCGGACTATAGTATGAAAAAAAAAATATCAACAAGTCCCTCCACACACGGAACACGCTTGATCTGTAGTGCGAAAAACACCACAATATTTAACCCCTCCCCCCCCAGAGGATTCCCCAGCCCCCCCCCCCCTGCAGCAGAGGATTCCCCCCCCCCCTCGCTTCCTGACCAGTCCATTTTTTGTGATACGGCTCTACGTTCCGTTAACTGACAATTGCGCGGTCGTGCAACGCCGCACCCGAATGAAATGTACGTCCTTTTCCCCCCACAAATAGAGCGTTCTTTCTGTGGTATTGGATCGCCTCTACGTTTATTTTTTGCGCTATGTAAAAAAAAAAGACCGACAATTGAGAAATAAAACTATATAATCGGACTTTCTGCTATTAAACATGTCCAGTAAAAAAATGTTAAAAATCAAATTTCGGCCAAAATGTATTCCGCTCCGTGTCTTCACTAAAAAACAAAAACAAAACTGAATTGCTTTACGTGAAACTTTTAGCGTCTACAAATGGCGCTATAGATACTGGATTTTTTTTTCTTCTAGTAATGGTGGCGATCTGCGACTTATAGTGGGACTGCGGCGGACATTCTAACATGGAGGGGGGGACTGAGTTGGTGTCACTGACATCCCCAGTGACACCAATACAGTGATCAGTGCTAAAAAAGAAAAAACTGACACTGCACTAATGGCACTGGGGAGGAAGGGGGTAACATCTGGGGCGATCAAAGGGTTAACTGTGTGCTGGGAGTCTTACTAGGATCCGGAAATGCAAAATCATGTATAGACACGTGATTCTGCGCACCCCTGTATATCTGCTACAGGGAGACAGGGAAGGGGTAAAATGCACCGGAGACAGACACGCCGGACACCGCATGCGCCGGACACCGACGCGCCGGACACAGACGCGCCGGGCACACCGCATGTGCCGGACACAGACACGCCGGACACAGACGCGCCGGACACAGACGCGCTGGACACCGCATGCGCCGGACACCGCATGCTCCCCGGACACAGACGCGCCGGACACTGCATGCGCCGGACACAGACGCGCCGGACACCGCATGCACTGGACACAGACACGCCAGACACCGCATGCGCCGGACACAGACGCGCCGGACACAGACGCGCCGGGCACCGCATGCACCGGACACAGACGCGCCGGGCACCGCATGCGCCACACACAGACACAGACGCGCCGGACACCGCATGCACTGGACACAGACACGCCGCATGCACCGGACACAGACACGCCGGACACCGCATGCACCGGACACAGACACGCCGCATGCACCAGACACAGACACGCCGCATGCACCGGACACAGACACGCCGCATGCACCGGACACAGACACGCCACATGCACCGGACACAGACACGCCGGACACCGGACACAGACACGCCGGACACAGACACCGCATGCACCGTACACAGACACGCCAGACACCGCATGCACCGGACACAGACACCGCATGCACCGGACACAGACACCGCATGCACCGGACACAGACACCGCATGCACCGGACACAGACACGCCGCATGCACCGGACACAGACACGCCGCATGCACCGGACACAGACACACCGGACACAGACACGCCGGACACAGACACCGCATGCACCGTACACAGACAGGCCGGACACCGCATGCACCGTACAGACACCGCATGCACCAAACACAGACACGCCGGACACAGACACCGCATGCACCGGACACAGACACGCTGGACACCGCATGCACCGTACAGACACCACATGCACCGAACACAGACACGCCGGACACAGACACCGCATGCACCAGACACACCGGACACCGCATGCACCGTACAGACACCGCATGCACAGACACGCTGGACACAGACACCGCATGCACCGTACAGACACCGCATGCACCGGACACAGACACGCCGGACACAGACACCGCAGGCACCCGACACAGACACGCTGGACACAGACACTGCATGCACCGGACACAGACACGCCGGACACCGCATGCACCGGACACAGACACGCCGGACACAGACACGCCGGACACCGCATGCACCGGACACAGACACGCCGGACACCGCATGCACCGGACACAGACACGCCGGACACAGACACCGCGTGCACCGTACAGACACCGCATGCACCGAACACAGACACGCCGGACACAGACACCGCATGCACCCGACGCAGACACGCCGGACACCGCATGCACCGTACAGACACCGCATGCACCGGACACAGACACGCCGGACACCGCATGCACCAGACACGACGGACACCGCATGCACCGTACAGACACGCCGGACACAGACACCGCATGCACCGTACAGACACCGCATGCACCGGACACCGCATGCACCCGACACAGACACGCCAGACACAGACACCGCATGCACCCGACACAGACACGCCGGACACCGCATGCACCCGACACAGACACCGCATGCACCCGGCACAGATACCGCATGCACCCGACACAGACACGCCGGACACACACACCGCATGCACCGGACACAGACATGCCGGACACAGATGCACCGGACACAGACACGCCGGACACAGACACCACATGCGCCGGACACAGACACGCCGGACACAGACACCGCATACGCCAGACACACCCCCATCATGTACACACCTCCATCATGTACACACCCCCATCATGTACACACCCCCATCATGTACACGCCCCTATCATGTACACACACACATTTTATGACTTTTTTTTTTCACTTTTTTTTTTTTTTAATTTGCTACAAAATGTCTCAGAACCCCCCAGACAGGATAGATTTGTTTAGAGCAGAGGTCCTGGAGAATACATTGGGGGGGTTTTATTTCCATTTTTTAGCTCGCATGGTATTTACGCAGCAATTTTTAAAACACAATTTTTTATGTACACATTTTTTTTTATAGCAAAAGATTTTTTTTTTTAAATCTTTTGTTTTTGATATCCTCCTTTTCATATGTTACAAATTGGGGTGCATATTGTGTTTTTTTTTAATTCACTAAAGTGTATTTTTTTCACAAAAAATTGCGTTTGAAAAACCGCTGCGCAAATACCGTGTGATATACCGGAGTGCGATTCTATGGGGTTAGAAGTCATTCTCTAGCAAAAAATAACGATTTAAACTTGTAAACGAAATGTGGCAGAAAATGTTCGGTCTTCGTATAGAGATGGACAGAACTTACAACCAATCCCCAGCCGGAGCTCTGCTGCTCTCTAGGCACTCTGGGGGCTTTTTCTGGCACTTTTTATTCACATGCAACATTTTTTTTTTTCATGGGACGATCGCTGTTTGCATGCGTGTGTTCTCCTTTGCACGGGGGGGATGGGGGCACTTTATTATTTTTAACAAATTTTTTACACTGTCACTTTAAAAAAATTAAATATCCCATGTGACAGCAATAGGCCTGTGACAGGTCCTCTTTATAAGACCCCGAATCCCTCCTCTGCCCTCAAAAAGCATTCAGTCGCACCAAGATCGCTGTGGGCGAATGCTTTTGTTTTAAAAAAAAAATGACGCCGTTAACATTCGGAGGAAACCAGAAGTGGTGTCAGGTCATCGCTTTCGCTTTACTATGTAATGGAGCCAAACAAAGCCGATCCGGTCTTTGTTCACCTCCACGACGAGCAGCACCGGCTGGTCAATTGTGACTCCCAGTGGGACTGGAGATCCCGTGAAAGCGGTGGAAGGTGGGTGGGGGGGAGGCGTCTCCAGGGGGGGGCGTCCCCTCCTGCTGCTTGTAATAGCGATTGAGCAGCTACTTAGCCGCTTTGATTGCTATTACAACAAAGCCGATCGCCTGCTGTAAATAATGGGAGCGGGATGATGTCAGCAGCTGCAACCTCCTGAAGACCGGAGATGGGACACGGGCGGACTGACCATTTGGAAACTCGGCACTGCCCGAGGGCCGGGGTCAGTAGGGGGCCCCATGAGATGCCCCTGGTACCTTTTTCATAGGCTTTTTTTGTTTGGGCAAGGACACAGGGGCCCCATGTTCCCCCTATTGCCCAGGGGCCCCATGAGTTGTCAGTCCGCCCCTGCCCAGGGATGTGACTGGTCGGCAGGTGGATATACATTGTGTGCAATAGATATAAAGTCTTTTTTCCCAGCACTGGGGTTGCGGTAGTAGCAGCCACATATTGTTTTGTCATTTACCCCCCCCCCCCCCCCCCTTCCCGTCTGCCCGGCAGTCCCCTTTAAAAGCTCTGATTGCTCAGGGAGAGGTGGTGTTAACACTGACATCCCCTGCAGGTCGCATGTGTAGTGCGTTTTGTGACGCAGTGCGGTAAATGTGGGTTTCTCGCACCACATTCTGATCTAAAAGCAGCTGGACTCACACATTGCGAAGTCATCATGTTACACGCAGAGCGCAGGGTTTCCTGAGCCGCGTT